TAATTGGTTTCCTCCCTGCCAAATGCCACAGACTTGACTCCTGCCATAGGCCCAACGATTGGGATAAACTTCTGCTTGTATGACACTCTCTACAACTACTGGAACGCTCAAAGTTGGATTATTTTTAGTTTCAGAGTGAGAAATTTTTGGAAAAGCTTTACAGGCACAGAGCACCATCGCATTGGTAAACACAGTTTTGACATGCTTAGGCCTCCTGGCATTGCATGGTTACTTTCAGGCCCGAGTAGGATGGTGACGAGCTTGATCTCCGGTGGAGTAGCAGGAATCGCTGCCTCAACAGGTAAGAGTCTTAAGAGCGATTACGCTTGATCGCCATAGTTCCTGTTTTCAGCGGTGTTTCCGATCGACTTAACTCGGAGGGCGACCGGAGATGGACACCGGCTTACAAGCCTGGGATTGCGATTCTTTCCAACCGTCAGATATTCTTGAATCGACGGCCTTGATTGAATTTCCATGTTGCTAGCAAATTTTTAGGGTTCTTGCGATGGATGAGACTTGGCGATGGCAGCGATTCGATGCGCCGCACCGGCATTCGCTCCTTCGGCAGCGCCGCCGCGGGCGCCCGATCAGCAGGTGTCGGCGTTGAAGGTCACAAGGGATTTGCGCAAGGGCAATTTGCGCCTGGGCGATCCACGGCCAGGCGGCGGAGAACAAGCAGCGAAATGCGGCAGCATGGAGGACTGTTCGACAGCATTCTTCACCCAAACGTGATGTCCTTGATGCTGGGCTACGTCTCCAATGGCGAGAGCGATGTGGCTCTGGATCTCTTCGAGAGGATGCAAGCCAAACTCCAGGACGCGGCAAAGGCTTGTAGCAGCCTCGCGGCGAAGGAAGACGCTGTTTTGGTCGATGGGAAGCTCGTCAAGGAGGCTAGTCTCGAGACCGGCAGAGGCATCCATTCTCAAGCCAAGCAGATGGGACCGTCTTGCAGCGAAGACGTTTTCCTCTCGAGCTAAGTGCGGCATCATGCCCGATGCTCGATCGGTCTTCGATGAGAGCCACAGCGAGACGTGGTCTCCTGGAACGCGTTGATACTGGGCTACGTAGAGAATGGAGAAAGCAAGGTCGCTCTCGAGTTCTTTGGGAAGATGGGCTGCTCGCCAAACTCTCGGACTTTCGTTGCTGCTGCCAAGGGCTGTGCGAATCTAGCAGTGAAAGAGGAGGCCACCAAAAGATGGTGAAGACGAAGAGCCTGGAGAAGGAGCTCGCTGTTCACGATGGAGCTGTGAAAAGCCACTGCTGTGGAGATATCTTCCTGGGGAGCAGCCAAGTGACAGGTACTCAAAGTGTGGGAGCATGGTCGACGCGCGGATGGTTTTCGAGAGCATGCCTCGTCGTGATGTCGTGCTCTGGACGAGCTTGATACAAGGCTTTGTGGACAACGGGGAAAGCGAGCTGGCTCTCGTGTTCTTCGAAGATATGAAGCTATCTGGGTGCTGTCCAAGCTCTCGGACGTGTGTTGCTGCGCTTGCCGCCTGTGCGAGCTCGGCAATGCGAGAAGAAGCGGTGGATGTCGACGGTGAAGCTTCAAACAGCAGGTGCTGTGAGGACGTGTTCGTGGGGAACACTCTGATCGATATGTACGCGAAGTGTGAGAAGCTAGAGGAAGCTCGCAAGGTCTTCGATGGCATGGCTGGCCGATGTAAGTGGAGACAGCAAGCTGGCCTTGGAGGTGTTCTTTGGCATGGCTCGGGAGAACGATCCGGACGAGAGAACGTTTGTTGCTGCGCTCATGGCCTGCGTCCACCTTTCAGCGTCCGAGCCACCTGTTCCGCGAGAAGATGGAAAGCTAGTGCGAATCCAGAGCCTAGAAAAGGGGATGGAGATTCATTCTCTCGCCGCGAAGTTTGGACGCTGCGAGCACAGATTTGTCGGGAGCAGCTTGGTGGACATGTATGCCAAGTGTGGAGATATGGTGAAAGCTCGAGCAGTTTTCAAACGCATGCCTAGCCGGGACGTTGTCGTTTGGACGAGCTCGATACAGGGATATATAGACAACGGTGAGAGTGAGCTCGGGCTGGAACTCTTGGAGTGGAAGGAAAATCCAGGCTGAGCTTTACAGGCGTGGGCTGGAAGACGATCAAGTTGTGGGGAGTAAACTTCTACAGGAAGTGCGGAGTTATGAGTGCGAGCACTTGTTTGGATCTCTCGCAGTCCGAGATATCGTCGCCTGGAATGCACTGATCACAGGATTCGGCCAACAGGGTGACACGTCGCGCATGTTCGAAGCCTGTCGTGAGATGCGAGAAGATGGCGTGCGAGCAAACGCAATCACGTTTGTCTCGGTCATCACTGCTTGCAGCCACGGCGGCCTAGTTGAACGAGGCAGGGAGTTTTTCCAGGCAATGGACCCGGACTCTGGCATTGTTTGCGGGATTCATCACTACAGCAGCTTGGTGGATCTCGTAACCGAAAGTCCTCGAGAGCATGCCTTTGAGAGCGGATGCTGTGGTTTGGAGGAGCGTCCTCGGGGCCTGCTGTAAGTGGAAGTGCGTTCGAGGCACTGACGAAGATCGACGAGAATGACTCGGCTGCGTACGTTCTGCTGGCGAGCATCTACCGGAGCGCGGGGCTGTGGGAGGATCATGATAAGCTCAAGACTATACAGGAGGCGGCCTTGAAAGCGGATAAGAAGAGTTCACTTCATCAAGCAGTCGTGATGGATTACAAACTGGAAGGTAGAAAGGACGGCAGCAACATGGTGGACGAGCTAGAGATTTGATTGCCAGCATCCACAGAGCTGGGAATGAGCTCTGCAGTTTGCCGCAAAGTAGGTCCAGAAGAATGCGTTGAAGAAGGCTGCCACGAAGATGGCAACGCTCACAAGTGTTATCACCTCTCTTTGGTCCTGTTCGCTACCACGTTGTCCCTCTGTTCTAAGCTTATGTGGCGGCATAGCAGTGCTCGAACAGGTGTTGGTTAGTGGCAAGCCACAGAGCTGATTCCCAGCGAAGAGAGCCGCGTTCATGGACGAGAGTTGCGGGCTGTCAGGTATCCGTCCCACCAGGCTGTTGTTGGAGACGTCGAAGATGGTGAGAAACGAGAGGTCCGCCACGGACGATGGTATGGAGCCATTGAGACGATTGCTCGCGAGCGCCACCCAGGAGAGATTCCTTGCCTTCCCCAGGGACTCGGGAATGGGACCTGTTAGCTGGTTGTGGCTCAGGTGCAGCACCTGGAGCTTGTAGAGGTCGCCAATGGTTGAAGGAGAAGTCTATGGAGGTCGGGAAGGCGAAGCCGTTGTAGAGGAGTCCTCGCGTGGTTTGAATCATCACAGACCGTTTGTTCTGGTTGTAAAGCTGGACGTTGGCAAACAGTCGGCCAATGCTTTCCGGCATCTCCCCAGAGAACCTGTTAACCGAGAAGTCCATGGCTCGTAAGTTCGTGAGCCTGGGAAGCCAGTCCGGTATGGAGCCGCTGAAGCTGTTGTGTTCGAGGAAGAGGAACTGCAGAGCCGACATGTTTTGCAACATGGCCGGGATTGAACCGACAAGATCGTTGCTGTAAAGCGACAGAAGGAACAGGCGGCTCAAATTCCCGAAGCTGTCAGGGAGATTTCCAGAGAACTTGTTCTGGTCCAGCCAACGAGCTCAGTGCAGTTGGAGAGTCCGGAAGGGAGCTCCCCACCGATGTCGTTACTGCTGAGAACTAGCTGCTGGAGATGTGAGAGCTTCGAGAGCTCGCCTGGGATTGTTCCAGTCAAATCATTGCCGTTGAGCCATATCTCCTTAATGTTTGACCAGTTTCCAAGCTCCGGAGGTATGGCGCCACTAAAACGATTCCCCGTGAGAACCAGCTTCTGGAGATGCGAGAGCTTCGAGAGCTCGCCTGGGATTGTTCCAGTCAAGTTATTGCTGTTGAGCCATATCTCCCTGATGTTCGACCAGTTTCCAAGCTCCGGAGGTATGGCGCCACTAAAACGATTCCCCGTGAGAACCACCCTTTGGAGATGCGAGAGCTTCGAGAGCTCGCCTGGGATGGCGCCACTAAAACGATTCCCCGTGAGAACCAGCTGCTGGAGATGTGAGAGCTTCGAGAGCTCGCCTGGGATTGTTCCAGTCAAGTTATTGCTGTCAAGCCATATCTCTCTGATGTTCGACCAGTTTCCAAGCTCCAGTGGTATGGCGCCACTAAAATGATTCCCCGTGAGAACCAAGATCTTCAAGTTCCTCAAGCTTCCCAGCGTAGCCGGGATCGTTCCGCTAAACCCGTTTAGCCCGAGGTTCAAAACCTCGATGCTTGCAAAGTTGCCATCTTCCAGCTCCAGTGGCCCGGAGAGAGAGTTGTATGCAGCGCGTAAAACAGAGAGCTTGCGTAGCCTTCTCAAGCTCGGTGGCAAACCACCATGGAGCGAATTGTTGGAGATACGCATGTACCTGAGCTCCAAGTTCTTGCTCCAAATATCGGGTAGATCTCCGCTAAACCTGTTATACGATATGTCCAGGCGCGTCAAGTTCGTCATCTCCCCGAAAGTTTCTGGAATGGAGCCGCTGAGTCCGTTGTGCGAGAGTTCCAGTGCCTCCAGTCCCAGGTTACCACCAATGGAAAAGCTCCCAGTTAAGTTGTTGATGGACAGGTTGAGCGATCGCAGCATCAAGCTAAAGTTTGGGAGTCTGGCCACTGTTAAGAAGTTCCCACTGAGGTCCAGGCTTTCCAAACTCTTGAGGCTGGAGAGATTTCCGGGGAACTCTTGCAGGGAATTGGAGCTCAAGTTGAGGAGGTTGAGCTGCGTATTTTTGCAAGGGACTTCCAGCGAGGAGAGGCCGTTTTGCGAGAGGTCCAGGCGAGCCAGCGATGGAAGCTCGGCCCAGGTGGCAGGAAAAACTCCCGAGAGATTAAACCTGGACAGAGCGAGGCCCTCCACTTGGTTGTCCGAGCTCCACTCCACTCCCCGCCATGCTCTTGGATCGGCAGTCTCGTTCCACACTTTGATGCCAAGCCTGTCACGGAGAGAGAGAAGAACCTGTGTGTCGTTCACGATTGCGGATGGATTTGTGGGGCACTGTGACCGGGATCTTGTGAGAAAGACGAGTAGAAACAAAGGCAGCAGCAAATCCGCGAGAGACATGGCCATGGATCAGAACATCAAAGAGTGGGAGCTATCATGAAAGATGAGGTTCTTCTTTTCGCAGAGTTTACACGCACAAATGTTAATCAATTCTTGGCACACTTGACTTCGAGCCGATTGAACCTTGATGAAAGCCTTGGTAGTCAATAAAGTGGGGGATTTGGGATTTGCCATTGGTATACTGGGCTATCAACTATATTACATAACATATTGCACAATTTTTTCTTGTGGTGATTTTTTGGCCACGGTGGATACAATGTGGACTTCGGCAGGTCAAGACTTAGACTTGACTTCTGCCAGTCCGTACACTACTACATAAAAGCATTATAATGATATGTTTTTCCAACGAAATTTTTGTGTTTGTTCGAAATCTAAGTTGTAATTTTCAACTCAACTTAAATGTAGCAAATTGGCTTTAGTTACAAATTTTAAGATAGCTTTATAGTTACTCAAATTTAAGTTGGAAATTATAGTTGTCCTTTACAACTAAAATATAAATCATAATTTGTTCTTTAAAGCTAGATAAGTTCATATATGCTGCTAATTAGAGTTGCAATTTACAACTTTTAAACTGTGACTAAAATGTAAGTTCTTAAGGTTTGTAGTTCCAAAATTTTTAGTCATAAATTTCAACAATATTTACATCAACTAACTTACTAATAGTAGTATAATGTACCCACTTTTAACACATAATTTCCTAATTTGTTTTTTTCCTCAGATCTGTATTAAGTTTTTTGTTTAGGATTTAGGAATGAGAGTTGCATGTTGGTGTTTAAGGTGTAGAAGTAATTATATTTACCTTATACAAATTATTATAAATCATATTCGTCTTTATGGTAAACAGCTGAGTTGTCCTTGTTTGCTCACTCGCTCTCTAGCACTATCAGCCTTTTACCTTTAGGATGGAGAATGCTTGTCTATAAGCTCCTGGGAGAAGGTCCATAGCTTGTGAGTGAGCTCGGGATCTCTGCCATAAGCGCTACAGTTGGATTTGTTGGAATCCACGAAGTATTGCCCGGTGACATCCTTGAGGCTTGGATGTAAAGCTGCGTAGCACGTCGTAGCGGCGCCCTGAGAGATCGATCACGTATTAGTCATAAAAAACTTCCAGATAATTGAGAGAATTTTTCTTACCTATGGGACATTTTTCCAAAGGAAGCTGGAGAGGAACTTGAGAACCCCTGCATGAAGATCAAAGTTCCATAAGTAACCGAAAACAAATGAGGCAAAGAGACAAACTCATTATGTAGGATGTGTACCGCATCAAAGGTGTCATTATAAACTCTGGATGAACAGCGTTGGCTGTGATGTCAACTCCTTCAGCCTAATCAGCAAAAGAGAAAGCATTGACGAAAGAGAAAGGTGGGAGAGATTTCAAAGCATTAGATGAATACCTTGAATCTCATTGCCAGTTCTTTGGCGTGGAAGATGTTCGCAAGCTTGGATTGACTGTATGCTCTAGTGTCGGAGTACCTTTTGGAAGAAAAAAGGAAGAATGATTGTATGTTATTTCATAAGGAGAATAAGGACCTTCAATTTTGTAGAATTTCTAATGCTAGCAAGCACAAAGATTTTAATAATTATATACCTGAGAAAATAATGCATTATTTCTTTATTATACCTTGACTTCAACAATAATTTCAATATAGAGAAATAACACAATATATAACTTATCATTTTATCATCAATCCACTAATGGAATAATGACAATGCCTGCAGATGGTTCAACTTAAAAAAAAATTCGAAGATGATTATCCAGATTTTGCAGTAGATCCAAGAAATATACATCTTAGTATGGCTGAAGATGATCTTTCTCCAACAAAATTAATGGTAAAAATATATTCATGTTAGGCAATTGTTGCAATTAATAATAATATACCACCAACTCTAGCAATTAAGCCTTCATTTATATTCCTTATTATGATTATACTAGGTATTAGTTTAAAAAAATAAATTGAAATATTTATATCTATAATTTTTCTAGGCCCAAAACTTCCTAAGGTACTTAATATTTATTGGTTATTATTTTTGGAAGAGTTAAAACAATTATGGGATGGAGTGCCATGCAAAGATAATTCTAAGCTAGAGGGTCAACAATTTTTTAAGCTTAGAGAAGTAGTGTGATAGTTTATTCATGATTTTCCTGGATTATGATTTTGTTCCAAGATTTTGAACTAATGGGAAAATACTTTTACCCAGATTGTGGATCTACATTCTTAGAATATAGTCAAGAAGTTTATAAAAAAAGCATATATATTGGTCATTGGTGTTTCTTACCTATAGATCATCTATTTAGGTCTACTAATAGAATGTAAGATTTTAGTTATTATTTCTAAAACATAATTTTAATTAGTTTATTTAATAGTCATAATTATATTTGACCAATACTAGGACAAATGAATCCAAAAAAATAGGTACCATATTATTATTTGGTTAGACAAGAAGATCAAATATCATTACCTAATGGTATGAAATGGTTATATCCACATTTTATCAACTTCCATATTTTTATAAGTTGCCAATAGCATTTTTAAAGGATTACACACATATATTTAAGAATGTTTTTGAAATTATATATAAAACTATTACTGGTAAAAATGATGAATTAAGTACTAAAAAAGACTTATTTGTGTACAGAATGAAGTAAAATATGTGGCTGCTACATGATGGAAAAATTGATCATAGAACTTGGACATTAACAAGTCATCAAAATAAATTATTTATTGATAATATAGAGGCTTTTAAAGTGTTTACAATATATGGAACTGAATTTTCAAATCGTATAGATGAGAAAGGTAATTTAATAGGTATGAAAACAATTGGCTTCATTTACTATGAGTACGTTTCTAAATTTAATAAAATGTTAATTAATATAGTTATTAGGA